CGGTCCAGTCCGGTCGGATCGGAAGCAGATAACCAGATTGATTCCAATTCTGTGTAGAAATCCTTTCAGACTTTTTCTAATCTCAGGAAGTCCTACTTATGAGCAAAATGTCACTTTGATCAGCGATTAATAGTTAGATATACTTTCTTTGTAAGACAAATAACGTTTAGATATTTCTAAAGAAAATAACTTTTACAGTCGATTTGACCGTTGTATTTTCATCAATAATTATTATTTGTAGGTTTTCTTTTTGATTGTTGATGCTACTATCAATTTGCTCCTAGTCGGTGTGCATTTTGAAGCATTCAATCAAGCACGAGCTGCTGCTTACATCGTGTGGAAAATTATTGATGCAGTAAGTTGACAATTAAGTTTCACGTAAATAAAAACACATTTATTTCTAATTCATTTATTTTATAGCCATCTAAGATTAATAGTGATTCCGAAACTGATCTGAAAAAAGATGATCTTATTGGTGATATTTGTTTTTCTAATGTTCATTTTTCTTATCCATCACGGCCGGACGTTAAAATTCTCAATGGTATTTCATTTGATGTTAAACGTGGCCAAACAATTGCTCTTGTTGGATCATCTGGTTCGGGAAAATCAACATGTGTACAATTATTACAACGCTTCTATGATTTTGATTCAGGTTCAATCTTTGTTGATGATCATCAAATCGCTGAATATAATGTGAAGTGGTTAAGACAACATATTGGTGTTGTTAGTCAAGAACCAGTTTTATTTCAAACAACTATTCGAGAAAATATTTTATTTGGAAAAGATGATGCAACTAATGATGAAATTGAAAAAGCAGCGAAAATAGCTAATGCACATAATTTTATCATGGCTTTACCTGATGTGAGTAATATATTAATCATATTTATGATCTTTTTAATATTGCATCCATTCTATTGTTTGTGCATGTATTTTTAGAAATATGATACTCAAGTAGGTGAACGTGGAGCGACACTCTCAGGTGGAGAAAAACAAAGAATTGGTAAGTGTATAATAAGAATATGTATGAACATGTTGATCATGTCTTGTTTTTCTTTATGAAATTCTTGGTAGCCATTGCTCGAGCATTAATTCGAAATCCAAAGATTTTACTACTTGATGAAGGTAAACACTCATTTGTTTTTCTTTTCATAATTGTATTCTTTTTGTTATTACTATATAATAGCAACTAGTGCACTTGATAATAAAAGTGAAAAAATTGTTCAAGATGCTTTAGATCGTGCTGCTGAAGGTATATTAGAAGTTCAATTGCAATATTTTCATACTGATAGTGTTTATTTTTATTAGGTCGTACAACATTAGTAATTGCACATCGTCTATCGACAATTCGTAATGCTAATAAAATCATTGTAATACAAAACGGTGAAGTGGTTGAAGAAGGTGATCATGAATTATTGATGCGCGCTCGCGGAACTTATTTTGCTCTTGTTGAACAACAAAATTTACGTAAAGCTGAAGAAAAAGAACAGTTAACAATTTTTGAGAAGCAAGAAAGTATTGGATCAATTGGAGTTCATCAAACTGAAGAAATTCAATCGAGTTTCACAAGAGAACATAGTTCCATTATTGCTAATTCACCATTATCAATTATAAATACTCTATATGGTAAAGTAAATAATTCAATAACAGATGAAGATGCAAATATAGAAGAAGATATTGAAATAAAAAAGAAAAAAGTAAAAAGTAAAATTGAAAATTTATGTTATTTTAATTAATATAAATTAATTAGGTAAAAAAACCCAATACTTCTTTACAAATCTTGAAAATGAACAGATCAGAATGGAAATTAATAACTATTGGATGTGTCGCATGTCTATGCAATGGTAGTATCCAGCCAGCATTGGCTATTTTTCTAAGCAAGCTAGTTTCGGTAGATTTTGTTTCCATACTATTCCAATTTTTATATTAAAATATTGATTCTATTGAAAAGATTTTTCAAGAGTGCGATAAAGAAGTTCAAGAAAACGTAGTTCAATTCTGTACACTTTTGTTTATTGGTTTTGGTATTGTAATATTAACTACGACGTTTCTTCAAGTACATTCTTATATTAGAATGATACGAAATACGTTTATTTCTTTGATTTTATTGTATTTTTGTATTATTTAGGTTTTTTTATTTGCTTGTTCGAGTGAAGCTCTAACGAAAAGATTACGTTCTAAAACATTTCATGCAATTCTACGTCAAGAAATTGCTTATTTTGACGATCCAAATAATAATACAGGAGCATTATGTACACGTTTAGCAACTGAAGCATCTGCTGTACAAGGTGCGACTGGTATTCGTATTGGACTAATGTTAAAAAATTTCGCTTCACTCGGTGTTGGTATTATACTTGCTTTTATGTTTTCTTGGCAATTGACATTGCTTATTCTTGGTTTTATTCCATTTTTGGTTGTTGGAAGTTTTTTAGAAAGATATTTAGCAACTGGCTTTGCCAGTAAAAATAAAAAAATTATTTGAAGATGTTGGAAAAGTACAAAAGTCTTTTAAATAATAATATTTTATTCATTTTAATTTTATATGTTCTTTAGGTAACAGTAGAATCTATACAAAATATACGAACAGTTATACAATTAACCAAAGAAGATTATTTTTACAAAAAATATTGTTTATTTCTTGAAATTCCTTATCGGTATTGTATTTTGTTTGTAAATTTAATCGAGAATTTATCATATTGTACTTGTATTATATTTAGATCATCTATAAAACGAGCATATGTCTTTGGCTTATCCTTTGCATTAGCAAATTCAGTTCTATACTTTATGTTGGCAGCATTATTTAGATTAGGTGCTTATTTATTGATTAAAAATACAGTTTCATTTAAAGATATTTTATCGTAAGAATAAATATTTAAAAAAATATGGTAACTTGATTTTATTCTAGATGTCTTGGTTGTATTTTATTTGGTGCGCAAAGTGTTGGACACACAGTATCAACGTAAATGTTCGAAATGATTAGACAAAAAATTATTATCTTGTTGTTTGACTTTTGTTAGGTCTCCGGATTACACCAAGGCTGTTAATGCTGCTGAAAAAATTTTTGAATTTTTGAATCGAAAACCAATTATGGATAATAGTTCACGTGATGGGGATGAAATAGTTAGTTCATATCAACAAATGTTAATAAAATTAATTTTTTTCTATTCTTTTTGTTTTAGCCTAATTTTAATGGACAGTTAGAATTTAATGGTGTCGATTTCATCTATCCAAACAGACCGGAATCAATCATTTTGAGAAATTTCAAACTCAAAATTCAAGCTGGTATTTATTTTTTCATTCATTCATTTATATCAATTTTTTGTTTTCATAGGTCAACAAGTTGCACTCGTTGGTAAATATCGTCGTCTTTTTTTTTTCCTTACAATATATTTGATTTCAATATATTTATTTATCTATGTAGGTACATCTGGTTCTGGAAAGTCAACAGTAATTCAGTTAATTGAACGTTTCTACGACGCAAATATTGGTCAATTGGTCAGCTAATTTCTCTCACATATCTACTCATCATTTTTCTTTTTCTTTTTCTTTTGTAGTTAATTGATTCCAAAGATATTCGAAATCTTAACCTACAATGGTATCGATCACAAAGTATGTAATATTATATATTATCTTTCTTTTTTTTTTGTTTTTCTATGCAAAATAAATATCTTTTAGTTGGTATTGTTTCACAAGAACCTGTTTTATTTGATATGTCAATAAGAGAAAATATTGCTTACGGTAACAATAGTCGAAATGATATTCCCATGGAAGAAATCATTGAAGCAGCTAAAAATGCTAATATACATGATTTTATTCAAAAACTTCCACAAGTAAAGTCATAAGATGAGATATTTTCTAGAGAATAAAAATTCATCTTTTTCAGGGATATGAAACTAATTGTGGTACAAAAGGAACTCAATTATCAGGTGGAGAAAAACAACGAATTGGTAAGATTCAAGATTGAAAAAAGATTTGAATGAGTAAAACTAGTTTGTTTTAATTTTTAGCAATTGCTCGAGCATTAATTCGAAATCCAAAGATATTGTTGTTTGATGAAGGTAAAAAAAATAAGATGATGATTATTGTATAATGTATATATTTATTTAGCAACAAGTGCATTGGATAGTGAAAATGAAAAGATAGTTCAACAAGCATTAGATCATGCTAAAAAAAATCGAACATCAATTACAATAGCACATCGTTTATCAACAATTCAAAATGCAGATATGATTTGTGTTTTACATAATGGAGACATAGTTGAAAGTGGAACTCATCAAGAGTTACTTGCTCTTCATAGTCATTATTATCAATTAGCACTTGGAAAACTTAGATAAATATTATCACTTGTTTCTTTTTTACATATTTAAACATAGTTTTTATTGGAAAAATAAATAAAATTATATATGATTGTAAATACTTAACAAAGTGTTTTACAAAACATTTAGCAATCATTCAACGGATACGCTGGCCCTTTTGTTGAAAGAATAGCACGCTATAGTGAATAGAAACCACTCATCGTGATCTGGTAGCTTTTGTTTCTGAAAATAATCAGGGACTCGCAAAAAAATATTTCTTATTCGTTGCTTGGCTTGATGAAAGCATATTCAAAAAGAAATAACAAGATGTTTGTAAAATTATATGATCTCTTCATTTTTCTCTCAAGCTCATGTACGGTAAATCACATATTTTCATCTTGCAAACAACACTTGTAAAAGGAAGTTATTCTTTATGTTAGTAATGTTGAGAACGATAATATACCTGTTGAAGAAATACAATCATACATAGAATTATATTCAGAATTTATCTCATTCACTTTCATATTTTTATGATAAAATGACAAGTTTACTAACGAGGAAACATATCCAGCTGTCGGATCGCTTTCGAGCCAAGAATAGGTGCACCTTGTAGAGCTCAGTGAGCTATGTGGATGTCGGTGTGTTGAAGAGAAGATCTACGCCCAGTCTCGCATCCATGCCACCCACACCTTCACGGACGAGGTATGTTCAGATTTCCAAAGAAGGAAATTACCCAAATTTCTGAAATTTCCATCAGCTAAATAACTATATAGCAGTGCAAATCAAAAGTTTTTAGACATATTGGAAATTTCAGTAATTTTAGAAATTCCTGTCGTTTCAGAAATTTCTGTAAGTGCATAATTGTGAAAATTTCAGAAATTTTGGAAATTACATTATTTTAAGAAGTAATGTAAAATTCAGAACACAAATGCTTGACATCTCCGAAACTTCTGAAATTTCCTTTTTCAGAAGTCTGAACCCTGCTGTATAAGTGTTTATTCAAAGTGAATAGAAGATAAATGATTTTTTACATGACCACTGTAGTATTCGGTCGTAATTGTTGAAACTGATTATGAATTGCTTCGAGTTGGGCATTTGAAAACGAATTATTGGCAATGTCAAGATAGATGAGATTGGCAAGCTTGAGAATGTCGGACGGAAGATAAAAAAGCTTATTGTGATTTAAAGATAAGCGACCGAGTTTCCGTAGTTGGCCAATAGCGGGAGGAATCCATGACAAACTGGAATTGTTTAAATCAAGGGATCTTAAATTGATGAAAGAGCCAATTTTCGTCACATGTTTCAATATGTTATTGCTCATAGAAAGTTTTCCCAGACGTTCTGGATCTGTGAGAGTAGGAAGTTCAGTAAAACAGCAACTATCCAAAACTAGATAAAAAACATTATGGAATCCAGAAATTCGAGACAGAGGATTGTTGCTGAAATCAACATTATATAGATTGGGAATATCTTCGAGATTCGGCAAGTCAGCAAGCGAACAATTAGGCACATACAATGAATTTAGCAAAAAGAGCTTGCCCAACTGATCTGTCATTTGGGCAATGCAAGTATCACGAATATCGAGTGTAGAGAGCTTTTTCAGCTTGTTAAAGGCATCGGGAACCTCATCTAAATTTAGAAATATCTCAGTTCATTATAAACAATTACAATTGCTATTTTTCCAATAAATGCCACCTCACCGTTCAGAAAAGGCGTTTTGAAGATAACCAACGTTTCAAGATTTTTCAGGCAAAAGACACTAAGTGGTACATGAATCTCTTGGGAGAGTCTTAGAGACTGCACAAATGTACTATTGCCATCCATTAGAGCGTAAGTTGGCATTGGATTAGTCCATACCATCGGATTGATAATAATTGGGAATGGAAAGTCGATAAGAATGTCATAATCATCGGTGAATTGACTACAGTTTATTCTCGTCGTACTGTGGTAATCTATGAATGAGATGTGTATCAAGTTAAAAATAATACTTAGCAGTTCATATACTACCTTCGATTCCCTTTACTGACCCATGATGGAAGAACTGGCCACAGTTCACGTGATTCAGTTAATGGATAGGTGCAGAATCCCACGACAAGAATAGCAATACTATAACCAAAAAGCATCGTTCTCGATTTCTTCAATAGAATCCTTATCGATAATTTACATGCTTCATTTATATGATAATTAGGACAAACAAAAAATATTTATTCTTGTTGATTCCATCTATATCAACTTTCTTTCAAAATATGTGTTCGTAAGGATCATCAGATAAAGTTTCAACACATACAAACCTATCACGCAGATACACTCATATTTGCACTCGGACTAAATACGACATGTTGATTTTTAGATGGACGTAAATCGTTTTGCAAAGTAACGAATCTTCAATTGTTTCTATGGCTTTAAGTTGTAACTACGGTTATATGTATCGTCAGTCGTTATATTACGATCAATAACTTTGTTTGACTCTGTTGGCACCATGCCATCTCGAGTATCTCTAGCCATTTGACATATTCTTTCATTTGAGGACGAGAGTGCGTACGGTAGTTAGGATGAGGGTATGGTTGATGCGTAGTGGAGGAACGTGAAGACTATACTCTCTTTAAAGTCTTACACTTAGGCAAATCCTGTCAGAATTCAGTAATACCAATAGTTTTAATCATTTCAATAACTCCAAGAATTTGAATAGTTAATAATTATTGAAACTCGATCACGTCTCGAGAGATCATACTTGAGTAGAGGGTATGAATGCATGTGATATTCTTTCAGATTGAAAATCTTGACAATGAGAATCACGACGATGAAAATTTCGAAAATTGGATGTTGCTGATAATAATAGTCAAAGGAAGAGATTCATACTCTTATTGATCATTTTTTTTAAAGTGCTAAATGATAAAATATTAATTGTTCATGTATACTCTGTAAATCCTATCATATTTATGATCCTCGTAAAATAAATCAACATGCTATGTTCAAGAATAAAAATCTTTTATTTTCGATCAATGATTTTTTTTCTAGTATATTACCACCTATACTAAGTATAAATCCATAAAACTAAATCATCAATTTATATATATAGACTTATGCACGTGATATAAGTTTGACTTTGAGTGCATTATCAGAACGAAGAATTATTTGTTCAGTTGGTACAAAATCATTATAAGTTTGACTTGTTGTTAGATGAAATCGACGAATTATTGTTGAAAGAAATACTTTTTCTTCAAGCAAAGCAAAACGTTGACCTTTCATAACAAGAATAAAGTCAATATAAATATGATTTTTTCGAATTTCTCAACATACCAATACAATTTCGTGAACCAGCAGAAAATGGAATGTATGCGTAAGGATGTCGTTGTTGAGTTAGTTCAGGTAAAAATCGATCAGGATCAAATTTTTCTGGTTCAGGAAAATGTTGTGGATCACGATGAATTTCATAGATAAAGATTACAACTGTTGTACCTTTCAAAAATGTTTTACCATCTAAAAATAGAGAATGATTGAAAAAGAAATTATTTAAAGAAAAGTAGACCATATTGAAATGTTTCTTGAATTTCTCGTCCAATCATAGGAACAGATGGTAGAAGTCTTAATGTTTCTTTAATAACACATTCAAGATAATTCATTTGTTGAACATCATCAAGTGTACATGCACGTTCATTATCATTTTCTGAATATATCAAATAATATGTAACACAAAATTTTATCGAAAGATTTACGAAATATGCTTTGAATTTCTTCGAATAAATGTTGTTGAATATCTTGATGAAGTGCAATCATAAATAAAGCAAAATTAATTGCAGTTGCCGTTGTATCATGACCCTAAAATTCGTTCAAATCATAATCGAAGAATATGTGTTAAAATTTACTGCAAACATAAATGTATCGACTTCTTCTTGTACGTCATCAATTGATATTTGTTCATCATTCATTTTTGCAATAAGTGTATCGAGAAATGCCATTCGATGTCGAACATCAATCGACGAAAAGTTAGCAATACGATCTTCGATTACCTAAAAAAAAAAGAAATTTTTCTAAATTATGACAACTGTATATACTGAAACAGAGATTTTACCTTATTTTACTTGTACAAGGTAATACATTGAAAACTTTTCGAAAGTTTCTCTATCGTCATAGGCGCACTCTTTCGCTGATGTATTATAACGAAAAGTTTTACAAATATAACGGTTTGAAATCGATTTCGTAGAATTTTAAAGGCACTACGTAGTTATCTCTTTCTGTTTAAGAAAATAATTTGAAATATAACTGACTGAATATTCTCATATGCTAAAGCTTTGTAATGAAATCAATTAAAAATTTCGAACTTCAGCATTGTCAATAAAATCAAATCATATTCAATGTGATAATCTATTTATTAGATAAATGATATTCACTAAGAATAATATCTGAATATTGCATTCATCTGGAATTGAAACCCGCAGTATCAAACTTTTAAGCATTAACTCGTGTGATACATATACGACGCAAAATATTTAGCTTCATTCGTTAGAATTCCTTACTTGTCGAGTAAATTTATGTATGATTTTCAGAAGGCGATCATGTTCACGACCTTGAGCAGAAAGTTTAAATATTGTTCGAGGCCATAACCATGGTGAACGCATTCGTAAAGTTATAAGCTCCGTAATTCTTAATTCAAACAAATAAATCACCAATTACATAAATAAAAACATACCGAACAACGGCTTTTACATATTCAGATTCCTCAGTTTGTGCTCGAACTGTTTTACCCATTGCTGTCTCTATAGTTAAAAGATGATGATTATCATTCATAGAGCATATTATGATTAAAAACGTCTCACCACAAATGACATCAAGTGTCCAAGCTGAAATCAATGGATATAAATCAGTTTCTACTTGTTGATTAGCTAATGTCTGAAAATGTTTTAAACCAATGTTTAATTGTTCATTAAATATACCAATACAATTAGCCAAAAGACTACTATTATGAAATGATGGAGTAATAATTCGTCGACGTGTTTTCCATTTTTTACCTGAACTGAAAACAAAACCACATTGAGAAT